TATATATAGTTTGAGCCATTTCCAGTATATATTTTATTTACGTGGAAAATTTTGGTACTTATATTTTTTTCTCCAAAATATCTAATTCTTAGATTTTTTTAATTTTCTCATAAAACCTTCTTTTTTTGTCATTTTGAGTTTCTTCATTTTTTTTCTTAAACTTCTTTCGGTAGTTCAAACATCCTAAGACTACAAACATCTTTACAATCATATAATTGTTGAGAATTTGAACTACCGGAAGACATTAAAGAAAAAAAAAAAAAAATTCAAAATGCCAAAAATAAAAGGTTTTGTTCACACAAAAAAAAATCTAAATAATAAATGTTTTGAAGAAAAAAATAAAAATATCAAAAATTTCCAAGTAAAATTGATCAAAAATGTCAAAAAATATAATGAAAAATGGATCAAACAAACCGTATATCTATAGGCTTAGTAGGGGTATTTTCGTCAGATTTTGGAAAAAATATAACAGCAGGTGGGTTTTTGTATTTATATGTAGTACAGGGGGGTAAAAAATTTCGTTTTCGTTCACTAAAATCTTGAAAAGATGACTCACGACTAAACGGGCACGGCAAAAACTTTTTTTCCCGCCCAAAATGGACGCGTACAAGTCTGATCCACGCCCAACTTCATTTTTAGCTTATGAAAAATTCTGAATAGATTTATAAATTGCAAAAAAAAATATATTTAAAGTGTATTTAGGTCTTGCTAGTTCAAAAATCAGACTCCCAGCCGCAAAACACATAGAGCTCGTAGCGTCCTTTTTGCTTTAACTATTTATTATAGGGGTATTGTGCTAATTTGTTTAACACAAGAGTTTTTTTCAGTTATTTAAGATACGTAGGGGTGGTTTTTGCAAAAAGCCCTACAAAAATATTATAAAGTGTAAATTACACCTTCACCCTTAGGGTATGCTAAAATAACTTTAAGGTCCATGTGGTATTGATAATTACACTCACCCCTCTGAAGCATAGTTAGAAACTCTAATAGGATAGTGCATTGGATACGTTATTCCGATAGATTTTTAACGAACTATTACTTTTAGCTAGTGGTGGAGACAACATAGAGTTAGGGTGTGACACGGCTCCCTCAATATTTCTTAAATCACCCATAACTCTTTGTTGTCTCCACCACTTACTGAAACTAATAGTCCGTTAAACTCTATCGTAATAACGTATACAATCCATTATCCTATTAGAGTTTCTAACAATGTTTCAGGAGGTGAGTGTAAGTATCGATACCACAGGGACCTCAAAGTTATTTTAGCATACCCTAGGGGTGTGGGTGTAATTTACCCTATTATAAAATAAATAAATTTTCAATTAACAAAGCAAACGAAGAAACAACATAGAAGGGGGGATTACTGTGTGATACTCCGCGCGACGGAAGAGCTGTATCTATCTGTATATACTGCATTTAAAGAGAGAACTGGATTCTGTTATATAAACCGCCCGTGTGAAGAAGGCGGAAACATATTTCAATTGCAGGCAGTTGTAAAATTACAGAGAGGCTTCTTCAACCATTAAACGCACACACACACACACTCGCACACACACACGCACACACACACACGCAGTCGCACACACACACGCACACACACAGTACACAAATTCTGTGTGATTTCGACTCTCATAGTGGAAATGTCTTTGTCAGATAGGTTTTTCAACTCCAAAGATGGTAGGTATCTGAAGATAATTACCAGCCGTCGGGGTGATCAATCGGTGATTCTCATTAATAGAGTTTGTCACTACTCCGTTGAGGTATATTTTTTTCAGTTTCAATTCAAAAATTATCCCTGATTTACTGCGTGCAACGTAATTATGTAGTGTATTTTTTCTGCATTTTGGTTTTGATTTCAACCTGTGTGTTAAAAAAATGGCTTGAAATTTCGTTGTTTCGAACACTGGTGTATATATGTATATTATATGAGATCGGTGATTATTATTATTATTAAATTTTTTTTTTTAATAAGAGATTAATTTGATGGTATTCAGGTTTTTCTGTCAAATGCACAAATAATATCTTGGACAAATTCAAATGGAGAGGAGTTGCTTTTTGTGAGTCAAGAGGTATTCTCTGTTCTTGATTTTTATGTTTTTTTATTTTTATACAAGAAATGTGTTGTGAAGATAAATGGGGGAAGAAGCAAGGATGAAATAGAGAAGTAGAAACTAGGTGAGAACACAATGGAAGTATTTCACTAATCAACGAAATAAGATGTTCGGTATTTATTGAATGCGGTTAAATTTCGGGCTTGGTAATCTTTTGAGATATGAAGAACTGCTTGGTGTGCATTGGAAGGCGGTTGATTTTCTGTGATTAATGGTGAATCAAGTATGATAACTTCGGAAATCAAGTAAAGATTATCTTGATTCAATTTTTACTTTCCATATATGTTTATTTTTTTGAATTAAATCATGGTTTGTCGTGTTCGATTTGATATTTACAAGTATATATTTGCAGTCCACTTTCAAATACAAGGATCCAATCCGTGGAGGAATGTCTATTTGCTTTCCCACGGTATGATTTATATCATCGCAATTTTTTTTCGTTCAACGTTACTTCGTTTAACTTGCGTTTATCGATTTGATATATTATCTCAGTTTCTTAACAATGGACGTATCGAAAGCCCGATCACGGGGGATTGGAATATTGATAATTCCCTCTCCGAACCCATGGAGAAGGCAAGTGTAGATTTGATTTTGAAGTTAGGTGTTCGAGACCGGACAAAATGGCCTAGGTAGAAAACTGGTTTTTTTTTTTTTTTTTTTATTTGTTTGGTAGAGTATTTTAAATAGTACCGAATCACAAATATTTTTCATTTTGCTGCAGATTTGAGTTCCGTGTGACGTTTGAGTTGGGAGACCCCGGAGATCTATCGGTTACGTCTCGTATAAAAAATGTTGACAAGAACATGCCGTTTACGTTCAAATTCGCCTATCAAACGTATTTGGCAGTGTCAAATATTCGGTAATAATGCTTAATGAACTTTTCGTTAACTAATGGAATTATGAGTTAATCGGTTCAAAACCACGTGTTTTCCTTTTACAGCGACATCTCGATCAAAGGATTGAACAACGTTGAGTATATCAACTATCAAGACAACAACCGATTTACCGAAAGGGCTGGCGAAGATCCAATCTACATTGAATCTGAAGTATATATAAGATAATAAAAAGCCTATTTAATTACTTGAGTTAGTTTTGTATGTGTTAACGTAATTACACACGTGGTATTTCCTAGGTGGACAGGGCATATGTCAAAATACCCCCGTTGAAGAGTATCGCTGTTAGAGACCATGTTAGAAATCGAACTTTTATAATCGCGAAAAATGAACTTCCCGACTTCGGTAAGGTTCAAATGTAATTTATAGAATAGTATATAATTATATTCAGAGAATTATTTAACATATGTGTATAATTTTTATTTTGTAGTTTTGTGGAATCCATGGGAAAATACGGGAGATGCAATGGCTGATATGAGACGTGGCGATTATAGAAGGATGTTGTGTGTCGGGGGAGGGGCAGTTGAGAGTGAGATAACGTTGAATCCCAATGAAGAGTGGAAGCGCAACTAACAATC